GATGGATGGATGGATGGATGGATGGATGGATGGATGGATGGATGGATGGATGGTCAATGAGATCAACACAGTATTTCTCAGCTGCATTACACCAGTTTGGCCTGAATGAGGCAGAGCAGGCAGAGAGAGGTAATATCATGCGTCTCCTTCGTTTCTACTTCCTTAACAATATATATTCACTTAGCTGTGCTCACTTTCTCACACATTCCATCCATTCTAAATGAGATTTAATCAGTTTTTTATTCATTTTCACCTGCTATTGTTTACAGTTTTTGGAGTCTGGACATTTTTTAAAAGAAATAGGAAAAAAAATTCAGCTCCCCCAGACTTTGTCCAGGAACCCCTCACATGCTATGTTTGCAGACAGCTGTCCTACTTTCATGGTACCACAATCCTGTCTCTAAGGTGATACACAAGTCCTCCTGACCTCTCATCAGGCCTGATTGAACTTGACTTGGAGGGATTTTACTTGCTGTAAAGATCTGATGGATCTACATTCCGTCACGTCTGCATGCAGCTGAGGCAGCATCTATCAAACACTAAAAACACATATGGTCACAGGCTAAACAGTTCTCAGTTAATAAATGCAATACATATATTGTGATTTCTCAGAATATGGAAAGAAAATTAAACAAAATACATTATATTAATCCAGAAACATGTTGCTACGGATCCGTACCCACCAGGTTTTGTTCTGTATCCCAAATAAGCACTTGGCCTGTGCTCCTTCTAAATGAATTACAGCATCATTGCAGTATAGCAACACTCAGCACATCTGCATTGTTGGTTCTGGTGCCTCTCATTTTCCTCTTCACAACAGCTCATAGATTCTCTCTAGGGTTCTAGTGTTTCTACTTTGGGCTGTATGAACATATGCCAAAACACGAAAAGCTGTTTTTCATAGAGTTCTGAATCCCATCGTTTAGATAGAAAATAATTCACAACCAATTCATCAATTCAAAACATGTCATCTTAAGGCAATTTGCAAAAACAATTTAATTCCGT